GAAGGTGGCAAGAGAGGTAAAGTAGTTAGAGAGATGCTAAGGCCAGAGGATGGAACAGGGTCTTGCTTCTACCGCTGAGAGGACATTCCTTCTCCAAGATGCAGAGAAAAGGCCAGGCACGGTGGCTCAAGCCTGTAATCCCAGCACTTTGGGAGGCTGAGGTGAGCGTATTGCCTGAACCCACGGGTTAGAGACCAGCCCAGGCAACTTGGCAAGACCTCACCTCTACAATAAATCAAAAAGCTAGCTAGGTGTGGTAGCGCGCACCTGTAGTTCCGGCTAAGTGGAAGGCTGAAGCGGAGGGATCGCCTGAGCCCAGTAGGTCGATGCTTTGGTGGGCATGACACTGCCATTCAGCCTGGGCAATGGAGTGAGACTCCAACTCAAAAAAAAAAGCAAGCCGGGCTCAGTGGCTCAGTGCCTCTGGGAGGCTGAGGTGAGTGGATTGCCTGAGCCCACGGGTTTGAGACCCGCCTGGGCAACTTGGCGAGACCTCATCTCTACAATAAATCAAAATGAGCCGGGTGTGGTAGCGCGCATCTGTAGTTCCAGCTACTCGGAAGGCAGAGGCGGAAGGAGCCCAGCAGGTCGAGGCTGTGGTGGCCAGCTCCTGCACTCCAGTCTGGGTGACAGAGTGAGACTCCAACTCAAAAACCAAAAACAAAAAAACAGAGAAAAGGCTGGGTGCAGTGTCTCACACCTCTAATCCTGAAGCAGGAGGATTGCTTGAGCCCAGGAGTTCAAGACCAGCCTGGAAAATATAGCAAGATTCCATCTCTACATAAAAAGTCAAAGTATTAGTAGAGCGTAGTGGCACCCACCTGTAGTCCCAGCTACTCGGGAGGCTGAGGAGGAAGGATCACCTGAGCCCGGGAGGTCAAGGCTGTGGTGACCCATGATCGTGCCACTGCACTCCAGCCTGGGTGACAGAGTAAGACCCGGCTCAAAAAAAAAAAAAAAAAGTCAGGGAAAACCATGAGGCAGGCCCCTAGGCTCTAGGGGGTTAGGTGATGAAGAAAATGGTTTGCCTCTCCTTCCTCTACCTCCCAACCAAAACTCCAAACCCTGGTTATAGGGTGTTTGCTGTGGCCAGGTGCTGTGTTATGCATTGTACTTGTGTTCATGATGTAGGTAATACCAGTAATAATAATTATATCTAATATTTCTCAAGAGCTCTGTGTGTCTGAGACCATCCTAAAAACTTTACATTTTGTCATTTAATCATAGTAACTCTTTGATCCCCATTTTATAGTTGCGAAAACTGAGGCCCAAAGAGGTAAAGCAATTTGTCCGAGGTCATACAACGTGTCAGTGATGAAATTCACACTTAGTCTAGGGTTGTTTTTTTCACACTTGGTTCTCAGACAAATTCTCAGACAAACTTGAAGAAGTATGAGAGAGGGGGTAGAAAATGGGGAGGCAACCCCAGTTTTCCCTCAAGGGGGAAGCTGAAGAAGAAGCCCTGGCTGGAGAGAAGATGGGAAGTGAAATCCAAGGAGAGAGAGGATGGAGTCCTAAGGATTAGCGAGAACTCCTTGTCCATCTTTCTGGAGCCTTCCAGAGATGAAGAACCCCATCTCCATGACAGTTTGGGGGATGAAGGGGTGGGGAGAGGACTCCTCTGTGAACCCAGGGGAGAAAGTGAATTCAGGAGGGGTCGGAATGATTGATGGGAAGGCATCCTAGGGGGGTTAATTACCTAATAGGCTTAATGGTCCGATTAGGCAAGTTTAAGAGGATTGCCTTGGGCTCAGGGAAACTCCTTAATTCCAGACCCCTCCCCATGCCTGCAAGGCCACATCGAACCCCTTTTCCCCACACCCTCATCTTAAACACATCAGGGAACCCAGAGCCTTTCTCTTAAGAGGCCAGGCAGTGATGAGCCAGGGCTCCAGGGCCACCCACCCTGTCCCCACTTTTGCTAGAACAGTTTCTCTTTTATCTGCTCTGTATGTGGGGGGTTTCACATGAGACATGGAAAATACACTTCCTCTGCTTAAAAGAGAAAGTTGAAAAACCATCGAGAGATGGTTTAAGACCTCAAGCTGTGGAAGCACGATGGCCTGACTCCTCCCTTCGTTTTCGCAGTGTTTAGTGTGTACCTAGTATGTGCTCAAACACCGTCCAAGTCCCTGGGACACAGGAGTCAGCTCTATGGATATGGTCCGCAGTGGGCCTCTGTGATGAATTGCTCTGAGGGCATAAAACGGGGATCCATCTCATCCTCAGGGTCAAGGAAAACTTTCAAGAAAAAACAATATTTGAGAGGAGACCTAAAGAACAAGAGGAATTCACTGGGGGAATGGAGTGCCAGGCAGAGAAAATGTGCAAAGGCCCTGAGGTGGGAAGGAGCAGGAAGATGAGGAAGTGAAGCTGGAAAGGTGGTTGGGGCCTAACCAGCAAGGATCTTAAACTGAGAAGGGTCCAGAGTTTCTACCCTGAGAGTACTTAGGGACAACGGTTTGGTTAGAAGATAGGAGTGGTTAGGGACTTGCCTTGAGGTTGCATTCACAAAGTGCTTTGCACTTGGCCTAGAAAATGGGTCTATAACAAAGAATGGTCAAAGCCTGCAAACCACCACTGGCTCCCTCCCTAGGTCTTCCAAGGCCATCCTTCAGCATGTTGGTCTCTAGGTCCCAGCAGCACAGGGTGTTAAGCAAGGATGAGGGGCAGGGGTAGATTGAATAAAAATTGGATTTTTTTTTTCAGTTGGAGTCTCACTCTGTAGCCCAGGCTGGAGGGCAGTGGCACACTCATGGTCATCCCAGTGTCGATCTGCTGGGCTGAGGCAATCCTTCTGCCTCCACCTTGCAAGTAGCTGGAACTACAGGCACACACTACCACGCCAGCTAATTTTTTTTGTTGTTTATTGTAGAGACGAGGTCTCACCAAGATGCCCTGGCTGGTCTTGAACCTGTGGGCTCAGGCAATCCCCTCATCTCGGCCTCGCAAAGTGCTGGGATTACAAGTCTTGAGCCACCACCGCACCTGGCTGGATTTTCTTTCTCTCTTTCTCTCTCTCTCTCTCTCTCTCTCTCTCTCTCTCTCTCTCTCTCTCTGTCAGATTCTCATGCTGTCGCCCAGGCTGGAGGGCCATGGCACCATCACTGCTCACTGCAACCTCTACCTCCTGGGCTCAGGCACGCCTTCCTTCCATCTCAGCCTCCTGAGTAGCTGGGACTACAGGTGTGTGCCACCACACCCAGCTAATTTTTTGAATTTTTGTAGAAATGAGGTTTCACTTCAGTTGGTCATGAACTCCTGGGTTCAAGCAATCCTCCGGCCTCAGCCTCCCAAAGAACTGGGATTACAGGCATGAGTCACCACGCCTGGCCAGAATTGGATTTTAGTCTTACCCAGCAACTATCTAAGTGTCCTTGGCCTGATGACCATGGACTGGTGCCTTCACCTCTCTGTGCCCTCTCTGTGCCTCAGTTTCCTCATGTGTAAAAATGGGAGTTCATTCTACCTGTCCCACTGGGAGGTGGTGAGGAATGGGCCAGATCAAGCTTGCAAAGCACTCAGCACAGCACTTGGTCAAAAGTGAGCATTCAGAGCATCCTTAGTGTCCAGGTTCCTCCACTCCCCCCCCCTACTTCCACCAGGCAGACTGCCATCACCTCCCACCTGGACGTATCGGTCTCTGCCTCACTGGATCCTAGCTCTTCTGCATTGCTTCTCACAGTCTACTCCCCTCACTGGCATCAGAGGAATCTTCTGAAAACCTGAGTCAGGTCACATCCCTCCCATGGCTCCCAATCTCATTTGGAAGAAAAGTCAAGGAACTCTCTGTGGCCCTCAAGCCTCTCACCCCTCACCACCAGCACCCCTCTCTGTCCTCATCTCCCTCTCTCCTCTCCCTTTCTCACTCAGCCCCAGTCTCACGGGCCTCCTCACTCTTCCTGGCACAACCCAGACACAGTCCCACCCCAGGACCTTTGCTCCTGCTCATCCTCCACACAGCCACATGGTTCCTTCCGCCATAGCCTGGTCCTCCTAATAGTTCAGAGCATGGACGCTGGAGCCTGGTTGGGTTCAAATCTCAGCTGGGGTTTTTGGTTGGTTGGTTTGGAGCTGCCGGTTTGTTTGTCTGTTTGAATCAAGGCCTCACTCAGTCACCTTGGCAGCGGTGCTATGGCACAATCACTGCTCACTACAGCCTCAACTTTCTGGGCTCAAGTGATCCTCCTGCCTCAGCCTTCCAAGTAGCTGGAACCACAGGCGTGCACCCCCACACCCAGCTAACTTTTTGATTTGTTGTAGAGACAAGGTCTTGCCAAATTGCCCAGGCTGGTCTCGAACCCCTGGGCTCAGGCAGTCCTCTTGCCTCTGCCTCCCAAAGTGCTGGGATTACAGGTGCGAGCCATCGCACCTGGCCACCCGGCTAATTTTAGAACAGGTTTTTTTAAAAGAGCCTCCTTTCTAGAACCAGTGTGAAAATTAAAAGGACTGGTATTTGTAAAGTGCCCAGAACAGAGTCTAGTGCATATTGGGTGCTGTAGAAAGTGTGTGATGGATAATGAGCACCCTATTCTTGGGAAGCGCTTCCCTGGCCTCCCTATCTGACATTGCAGCCCTCCACGCTCCCCCAGCCCCTTTTCCTGCCTCTTTTTGTGTTCTTAGTGCTTGCCACCCTCTGACATGAAATATATTGTCTGTCTTCCCCCTCTGGAAGAATGTAGCTGTAGGAGCTCTTGGCTGACTCACTAAAACTCTCTCGGCCTTATTTGCCTCGCTGGCCTGTGAATCAGGGAGCTTTGTCTGTTTTTTTCCTGGCCGTTTCCCTAGACCAGTGCCAGGCACGTAGCAGGTGCTCAGTAACTATTTGTTGAATGAATGAATGAGTGAATGAAGGTCATTATTTGTGCTGTTTTCCTTACTGGTCATTGCTCGTATTTGCTACCGTGATCCCTGGGGTTTCCTGTGCCCACTCCATCCCTGCGCCTCCAAAGATGAAGACCCTTCCCTGCTAACTGCCCTTGTCCTGTGTGCCCCTGCAGAGGAAGGCGAGTACTTCCTGAAGGTGCTGATCCCCAGCTACGCGGCGGGCTCCATCATCGGCAAGGGCGGGCAGACCATCGTGCAGCTGCAGAAGGAGACAGGCGCCACCATCAAGCTCTCCAAGTCCAAAGACTTCTACCCCGGTGAGCCCCAGCCCAGGTCTCTGCCCTAGGCCTCCTTGCTCTCCTTCCCACCTGGGTAGCAATAATGGTGGGGGGGGCCTCCTCTCCCCCGAAGGGGATAGCGCTGCCCCCAGCCCGAGGGGTCTGGCTGAGCAGATGGGGGTGGGGGCAGGGCAAGACAATGGGCCTGCTGCATATGCATGAGCTCATTTGCATGATGTGCTGGCAGATGTGTGTCTTCCCACACACCTGCCCCCTCTGGTCAGTCGGGGGAGTAAGGATGGGGAGGGAGGCCGGTGTCAGGGCATCCCCTGGGGTTTGGGGGCCAGACATCCACACACGCCCCCCCCCCGCGTTCGCTTTGGGTTTCTGTCACCCCATCTTGCCCAATCTCAGGCTGGCTGGTTTTCTGTCGGTGTCATCCTTTGTGTGTTGCCTTCTCGTTCTGTTTCTGACTGTCCCGTCTTGTGTTCCCTTGGCCTCCATTCCCCTCCGCCCCTCATGCTGTTTCTCTCTCTCTCTCTCTCTCTCTGGTTCTGTGTGGATATCCCCCATCTCTCGTCCTTTTCATCTATCTGTCATCTGCTCTCTCTCCTTCCCCTCTTTCCCTCCCTTTCTGTCTTCCTGTCTTTCTCCCCATCTTTTCTTTCCTTCCACTTCTCATCTCTCATACTCCATTTTTTCTTTCTTTCCCTCTCTGAACTCTCTATTCAGTCACCAACCAACATTTTTTTTTCTTTTTTTTTTAAACTTATTTTTAAATAGACTCAGGGTCTCATTGTGTGGCCTAGGCTTGGTCTCGAACTCCTGGGCTCAAGCAGTGCTCCTGCCTTGGCCCCCCAAAGTGCTGGGATTACAGGCACTCAGCCCACTCAGCCAGTGTTTAGCAACCCCCCTCACTGGGGTCTCCCTCTGCTGGCGTTGCCTCTCATGCTTTCTGCCTCTGCTTCTGCTTGCCTGAATCTCCCTTCCCATGTCCCTTTCTAAGTTTCAGTTTTTTTCCCTCACGGTTTTTTTTTTCTTCCCTCCAAACCCAGCCCCTTTTGTGCTTCTCCAGCTCCAACTTTCTCCCCCTAACTATACATTTTCCAAGGCCCCTCCTCTCTGATCCCTAGTTCCTATTCTCTATTCCCCGCAATAACTCTCACCCCTCCATATCTCCCCCACGAGACCAAAGCCCAAGCTTCGACATTTAGGAATTCAGGGAAGGCCCCCTGAATTGCATCTTTGGTCCAGCACTGGTTCTAGTTTATCCGTAATCCCCTTGAATTTTTTAGGTCAAACATCAGAGCTGGAGCCCAGGGTCAGGACACATTCATATTTTCTCTCTCTCTCCTCTCTCTCTCTCTCTCTCTCTCTCTCTCTCATCCTATCCTATTTTCTCTCTCTCCCCCATCCTCCCTCTCTCTCTCCTCTCTCTCTCTCACTCCTCCCTTCCTCTCTCTCCTCACCCTCCACCTCCACCCGCCCCCAGCCTCCCATCTCACTAAGCAGCTTTGGCAAGAGGTTTAGAGAAAAATCTAGTGAACCAGGCATACCTCCTCCTTTTCTCTTCCACTCTGGCCCAGTTTCCCTCACACCCCCGTAGCCTACAAGATATGGATAAGACCTCTGTTTGGGACATTCATCCGAGGACACTTGGTTCCTTGCCCCTGGATCACATTCTGCGCCATGAGACATGTCATCCCCTCCCAACTCAGTGACACTCCCCGCAGGCCAGGCAGCTGAGAAACCCAGAAGGTGGGACAGTCGCTGGTCCTTCTAGGTCAAACACTGTTCAGACAAGCAATGCCAACCAGGGTATCTCCCCGGCCCCTGGGCATGTGGCCAGCCCCTGTCCCCACTCCTGTTGTAGAACTTCCAGCTCATACAGCATGAGCTGGCTCCTGACTCAGAGATTCAGAGCACAGCCCACATCCTATTCTCGTCCCTAGGATAGCCAGGCTACAGGAATTCAGGAAATGGAGATGCTACCGCAGGAGACAAAGAATGTTTCCCCCCACTCCTAGTTTGACACCTTTTCATTCATTCATTCAACATGTGTTCTCTGAGCGTCTCCTGTGCTCCTATGCCAGCCCTGTACTGGACTGAGATGGAGACAGAGTAGTGAATGAAATGCCCTGACCTTGCCCTCTGGGATCTCACAGCCCAGTCAGAGAGACAGACCCCATACCAGAGAGGATGCAGAGTGGTCAGGGCAGGGATAGGGAGATGCAGATTGTGGTGGGAGCCCAGGCAGGGAACACGACCCAGCCCTGGGAGGTCAGGAAGGACTTCTGGAGGAGAAACCCAGAACAAGAAGTAAGAATGAGTGAGAGAAACAGCAGGGAAAGGTACCCCAGGATGATGAAATTTCATGTTCAAAGGCTATGGAGTAGTTTGTTCAGTGTGACTGAAGCATAAAGGAGAGAATGACAATGGAGAAACTGAATTGGTCCTCTGGGCCTGGTAGGTACACACACAGACACACACACACACACACACACACACACACACACACACACACACACACACACACACACTGCACTTATATATCTGCTACATGAACTAAAAACCTACCCAGCCCTTAACCCCAAGGGAGGGGCAGAACATACAAAGGGTGTCCCCTCCTTGGGAATGGATCCCAAAACCCTAGATTCTATCCTTCCAGGTCACACATGGAGAAACGGAAGCCCAGAAAAGGGCAAGTACCTGCTCAAGGTCACACAGACTCCTATGCCCTGGCCCAGATCACCCTAATGATTCTAAAACCTCTTCTGTTTTTGAGCATTTACATGAAGCTCTGGGCTCTACCCCCAGAGGAAAAGCACAGACACACACACTTTTTTAAAAAATTTATAAATTTATAACATACTTGTACCAAAGTGCAAACTCTTAAGTGACTAATTAAGAAACTCATAGGGCCGGGCACAGTGACTCAAGCCTGTAATCCCAGCACTTTGGGAGGCCGAGGCAAGAGGATTGCCTGAGCCTGCAGGTTCAAGACCAGCCTGGGCGACATGGTGAGACCTTGTCTCTACAATAAATCAAAAAATTAGCCAGGCGTGGTAGCACATGCCTGTAGTTCCAGCTACTTGGAAGGCTGAGGCAGAAGGATCGCCTGAGTCCAGCAGGTCGACGCTGGAGTGACTGTGAGCATGCTACTGCACTCCAGCCTGGGCAACAGAGTGAGACTCTAACTCAAAAAAGAAAAAACTCAAATATTTTATTTTTTAATACCAAAAAGACAAAAAAAGCTTTGGTCATTTTATTCCTCCCTCCGAGACATACACATAGGGCTCATCATTGCATACACCCCAAATTTAGTACAGGGTGGTGTAATGGTTCAGAGCACAGATTCCAAAGCTCAGACACCTGGGTTCAAAATCCTGGTCATTCACTACTGTCTGAGTGAACCTAAACAAATCTTGAGTCCTCTCTGTGCCTCAGTGTCTTGGGCAGGCAATTAGGGATAATGACATTGCCTGCCTCATATATCTGAACAAATATATGTAAAGTGCTTAGAATGGTGCCTGGCACAATGTTATATAAGCACCAGCTGTTATTATTGGACACTTTTTCAGGGTTTACCTGAGCCCCCCGGAAGTGGCTCTATGGATCCTGGGTTAAGAACTACAAAGGGGTGGGAGGTCAAAGACTTCCTGAGTTGGAAGGAAGCCTCACAGAGATGGAGAATCTGGCCACTTCAGTCAGGCTCTCCCTGGG